ACACATTTCCTTATCACTGTCAGTGAGCTGACCCGAGGAACTTTTGAGTGGGCCTATCTTGTCCCTGATCTTACTTCTGTATACCTGAAAGAATCCTTTTGGGTTAGTCTTTGATTCTCTTGCAACTTTAACCTCATAATCTCTTTTTGCTTTTCTAATTCCCTTTTTTATTTTTCTCTTTAACTGAATATATTGATTTCTTAATTGCCCCTCTTCTCTTTTGATTTCCCTATATATGCCTCTCTTTTGACCAGTCAGATACTTTAATCTATTGTTCATCCATTTAGGATCATTTTTGTTTGATCTGATTTCCCTATTTGGAACATAATTTGAGTGAGCAGCTAGAACTATGCCCTGGAAAGCGTCATATCGGCAACCATTACCACCTACCTGACCCTTAGTCAGGTCATTCCAGTTCAGCCCACCTAAGTAATTTTTCAGTCCTATGAAATCAGCCAAGCGAAAGTCAGGGACGGAGACTTGATTGCCATTTTTAGGGGAATTCCATGATATATTAAAACTGAGTGATTTGTGATCACTTTCCCCAAGCTCATCATTAAAGGTAAGTGTCAATTATTCTATTGTGATTATTCTATTGTTATTATTGTTATTGTAATTATTATATTGCATTAAACTTAATATAGCATGTGGTAAAAGTTTTTTTTTCATACTTTTGGGTGTCTTGCACGGATTAATTTGATTTCCATTATTTCTTATGGGGAATATTGATTCGCTTTCCGATAATTTTGGTTGATGATGAGCTCTCAGGAACGGATTAATATCGTGAACCGGGAGTCCACTGTATACTTACACACTGTGCTGGTGTGTAGGTACACATTAAAATCGCTAAGTCTCTCTCTACTCATGATGCCAATACTAGGTAATAATAATCACTCTTGGGCACACTAAATGTCTTATTTTACATCAATATAGGCATTTTCATTAATCCATCAATGATATTTTCCTCAAAATTATATATGAAACCCATTACATAGCATATAAACATGATACATGCACTCACAGAATAAAAATTGATGTAAATATGAGATTTGTTTACAAAGCAGCTGTGTAGGTAGTGTCGGAAGAATTACGTTTTCTCTAGTCAAACTGGGGGATAACTGTAGAAAAATACAGTGGACCCTCGACCAGCGATGGCATCGATTAACGATAAATCTGACTAGCGATACATTTTATCGCAAAAATTTTGCCTCGATTAGCGCTAAAAAACTCGACCAACACTATTCGTTCCGTCTGAGACGCGTCCACTTCTGGCCAGTGTTTACAAGCCAGCCAGCCACCGCGGTCGCTTCCAAGCATACAATCTGAATATTTCATATTATCACAGCCTTTTTAGTGATTGCACCTGCAAAATAAGTCACCATGGGCCCCAAGAAAGCTTCTAGTGCCAACCCTACAGCAAAAAGAGTGAGAATTACTATGGATATGACGAAAGAGATCATTGCTAAGTATGAAAGTGGAGTGCATGTCTCCGAGCTGGCCAGGCTGTACACAAAACCCCAATCAACCATCGCTACTATTGTGGCCAAGAAAACGGCAATCAAGGAAGCTGTTTTTGCCAAAGGTGCAACTATGTTTTCGAAACTGAGATCGCAAGTGATAGAAGATGTTGAGAGACTGTTATTGGTATGGATAAACGAAAAACAGATAGCAGGAGATAGCATCTCTCAAGCGATCATATGTGAAAAGGCTAGGAAGTTGCATGACGATTTAATTAGAAAAATGCCAGCAACTAGTGGTGATGTGAGTGAATTTAAGGCCAGCAAAGGTTGGTTTGAGAGATTTAAGAATCGTAGTGGCATACATAGTGTGATAAGGCATGGTGAAGCTGCCAGTTTGGACCAAAAAGCAGCTGAAAAATATGTGCAGGAATTCAAGGAGTACATAGACAGTGAAGGACTGAAACCTGAACAAGTGTTTAATGGTGACACTGACAATGTTGTGAAACAATTTAGGAATGTCATAAAGGATCGGGAGGTACAGGCCTCTATGGGCAGATATGTTGTGCGACAGAGGTCCAGTGACTCTCGAGCTGGTCCTAGTGGCATTAAAAGAAGAAGGGAAGTAACCCCGAAAAAGGACTTGCCACCTCTAGTCCTAATGGAAGGGGATTCCCCTTCTAAACACTAAGACCATCAACACACTCCCCTCTTCCCATCCCATCAATCCTCACCAGATCTTCAATAAAGGTAAGTGTCATGTAACTGTGCATGTCTTCTTCAGTTTCTGTGTATTAAAATTAATATTTCATGTGTTAAAATTTTTTTTTTCAATACTTGTGGGTGTCTTGCACGGATTAATTTGATTTCCATTATTTCTTATGGGGAAAATTAACTTGACTAACGATTATTTTGACTAACGATGAGCTCTCAGGAGCAGATTAATAGCGTTAGTCGAGGGTCCACTGTATTGTTTTCGTATGCCTTTACTCTATATATAGCAATTAATAATAAATATTATTATTATTATTATTATTATTATTATTATTATTATTATTATTAATATTATTATCTTCATTCACTCTAAAAATGGTGTGTTGCTGTTTGTTTATTCTGAACTAACTTGTACAACTTGTACACAATGTAAGAGTATTTGTATTGTGAGGTAATTATTATTAAAATAAAAAAATATTGAGGTAAATGTTTTACAAACTCTTACAAATGGACGTGAATGAACTAAAAGTAGACACACATTAATACCCATTTATTTCGCCTGACCAAGTGATCGTCCACTACCTGTTCAGTTTGTGTTCTTACATTGTCTCAACTCTGTATCTCGTTCTCTCTCGTTTACTCTTTCGTTAACTAGATGGCTCTCATTGACGATGGTGTCTAAGGTTAGCTGTAATAAAAAGAGAAGTCGTAAGCCTCTTGCTTTAAGTGCCAAGTAAGAGGATGATGGTGTGCCATTCTGATTTTATTCAATAAACACCCTGCCACTCACCTCTCACACATTAATATTAATATTTTAAGGTAAGTAATAAGTGTACTCTGTGTATCTTACCTTTTATTGTGTTTTTAATGCCTATTCCTATTGCTAACTTAATGTAAGTTAGTGTAAACTTGTTGTCTGGCATTTATTGCATATTTTATGTGTGCTCTGATAATAATACTTGTGGAGCTGTGTGGTAGCTGGGTGGAGGGACAACATTACGTTTTCTCTGTTCAGCCATCAGAGAAAACATGTATGAATCTGCGTGCCCAGCCACTCCCTCACTCTGCTTTTGTTTACAATTTTCGGCATGAATTATTCATTACTTCTACCTTCATTTATGATGGCATCTAAAGGTAGTTGTTAGAAATGATTAAATTCAGTGAACAAGGCATGTTGATGTTAATAATATGGCTCTGGGCCACAGTGTAGGTTGCCAGTAGGTGTAGCCCAGGCAGGCTACCTACCGGCTACCTACACTGACTTTCTACAAATAAATACTACTCACCTCTCTTCCTATATTAAGACTACACATATTTTAAGGTAAATAATGAGTGTACTGTATGTGTATTTAACCTCTCTGGGATGTTTTAAATATCGTACATTAAGTATGAGACGGGGAGCCAGTGCTACCTACACCTGGGCAACCTGCACCTGACTTCCTACAAATAAGTACTACTCACCTCTCTCCCTACATTAAGATTACAAATACTTTAAGTAATTAATTTACTGTGAATGTATTTTACTTTGTGTGTTTTTAATGCCTAGTTCTATTACTAACTTAATATAATTTAGTGTAAACTTGTTGTCTGGCATTTATATGCTTTTATAAATGGAAAAAATGGCATTCTGCCTTCTGGCGATGTCTGCTTTCCGGCGACAGCCTGGAACCTAACCCGCCGTGTAAGTGGGGCCCTACTGTATTTAGATGGATTAAGCAAAATGTCTATATTAACATTTCATATGATATTTAATGCTCCTCAGAGTGATTATTATTGTGTTGTTATTATTATTATTATTAATATGGCATCTTCAAGACTAATAAGACACTCTTTGTGATAGTAATGTGTACCTGCATGCCAGCACAGTGTGTAAGTTTACTTAGGTACAGGTACACATAAGTATAAATATAATAATGTAGGTATGTAATCTGCCTGGGCTACATACCTACACCTACTTACATCGCTACATATTTAATGCGGCCCAGAGTCATATTATTACCATCGACATACCATGTTCTCTGAGTTGAATTGTTTATAACAACTACCTTTTGATGCCATCATAAACAAAGGGAGAAGTAATGAATAATTCATGCCAAGAATTGTAAACAAAAACGTTATGTATTAAGGGGAGTGACGTAATGTTTTCCCTCCACCCGGCTACCACACATCCATAGCATATAAACATAAAATGTTTATATGCTATGTAACATGTTTCTTATAAAATTTTAAAGAAAATATCATAGATGGATTAATGAAATTGTCTAAATCAACATAAAATAAGACATTTAATGTGTCCAAGAGTGATTATTATTAGTATTACGTAATGTTTTCCCTCCACCCGGCAACCACACCTCCATAGCATGTAAACATCATGTTTATATGCTATGTAACGTGTTTCTTATATAATTTTGAAGAAAATATCATAGATGGATTAATGAAAATGTCTATATTGATATAAAATAAGACATTTAATGTGCCCGAGAGTGATTATTATTACATAATAATAGAGAGATGTGCTCATGAAGAAAGTAAACAAACCAGATGGCACACGCTGTATTTGAAAGACCACTCACTGTATAGAAAGTTTTGGTCATAATTTGAAATTGTCATATTAGTGGAACGCCATAAGGCAAAACACCATAAAGCGGGGCCCTACTGTACTTTGTGAGCCTTTTATAAGCCATGAATTATTTATCCTTTTAGTTGTTATTTGTATAGATTTTTATGGGCAGTGTATATTTGTGATGAAATTTCCTAGGCTATGATTACTGTGTGTTTAATTTACTGATATTGTACTGTGCAAAAATCTGATTAGACATTTACTTGCAGGGTCGCCGTAACAGATGATGGAAGGAAGGCATTACTAGCACTCTCGGGTGGGGATATGAGGAGAGTCTTAAATATATTACAGTCCACATCAATGGCTTATAAAGAAGTAAGTATAAAATTCATGAAAAAGCAAAGTCTCTTATAAGGATGGCAACATCAAAGTGTAATTAAGGAAGCTTGGCAGTACATACTGTATATACAGTAGGACTGTGACTGCTGACTCTGACTTACCCTTTGACTGTCGCGGCCGTATATATACGTCTTACAAGGTGCCGTGTTTGACATATATATACTCAAAAATTCTAGCGGCTTCAAATCAAGAAGGAGAAAGCTGGTAGGCCCACATGTGAGAGAATGGGTCTGTGTGGTCAGTGTGCACCACATAAAAAAAATCCTGGAACACGCAGTGCATAATGAGAAAAAAAACTCCGACTGTTTTTTTTTTTTTATTAAAATGCCGACTTTGTGGTCTATTTTTGTATAGTATTTATGGTTGTATTCTCATTTTCTTGGTCTCATTTGATAGAATGGAAAACATATTATAGAAAAAGAGATGATTTTGATTGATTTTACTATAAAAAAAAAACTGGAAATGGAGCTCAAAGTAGGGGAAATGTTTGATTTTTGCCAATGTTCAAAAGTAAACTAATGATGTCATTGTCCAATAAATGTCCAATTAGCCATTCTAATATGAAGTCATGAATGGGTTGATGTTATTTATACAATTATTACAGTATTGGAGTAGTCTGCATAATAGTAAATTTTCTATTTTTTGTTTGAATAAAAATTCAAAATAGAAAGCAAGAGTAATATCAGAGGGGCCTAGAGACATGACTGATGAACAAAGAAAATGTTATTTTAGAGCCAGGAATGTCTGCATTGTTCATTCTGGACCTTATTTTGAAACTGTCATGTTCTTTAATTTTCGTGAAACTGGCCAAATTGCAAATTTCTGACCACGTTATTGGGTAGTTGAAAATGGTAAATGGGCAGTTTCTTGTACTCAATCGATAGAAAAAATGGAGTTCTAAAGAAATAGCTATGAGTTTGGTCGACTGAAGCAAAGGAATTAGCCGAAAATAGGGCTCAAAGTAAATATCGCCAAGGTCACTAACTTCGCGAGAGCGTAATTCCATCAGTTTTCCATCAAATTTCGTTTTTTTTGTGTCATTACAATCGGGAAAAGATTCTCTATCATTTCATAAGAAAATATAATTTTTTTTTTTTTTTTTTTTTTTTTTGAAATTTTGCAACACGAGGAGACACCTCAGGAATGGGGGTTGCGACAGTCAGGGGGTTAATTTCGTACTGATGACAAAAAGCAATTTGGAACAAATTAATTGCTGTACTTAGGAACAAGTGTCTCGCACCTTCAATGGCAGGAATTTTCAGGAAGTGGAACACTATAGAGTGAAGTAATGGAGGCAGGATCCATACATAGCTTTAATTAAGTAAAGGTACAATAAAGCTCTTGGAGCAGGGAGTGGACCAAGTAGCAACCAATGAACAGACAGGCCCAGGAGCTGTGACTCTGCAATTACACATAGGTGAGCATGCATGCGTGTGCGCACACACACACACACACACACACCACGCGCACACACGCGATTTCAACCACAGGGAGATCGACTGGGAAAACCTGGAGCCACACGGGGGTTCCGAAACATGGAGAGCCAAGATGATGGATGTGGTACTGGAAAACCTCATGCATCAACATGTTAAGGACAATACCAGAGAGAGAGGGGAGGATGAATCAACAAGACTGGACCTCGTGTTCACCCTGAGCAGTTCAGACATTGAGGACATCGCATAAGAGAGGCCCCTTGGAGCTAATGATCACATGGTTCTGTGTTTTGAAGACATAGTAGAGTTACAAGTGGAGAGGATAACAGGAGGTGAATGGGAAAAGTCAAACTATAAAATGGGGGACTACATAGGTATGAAGAACGTCCTGCAGGATGTTCAGTGGGACAGAGAATTGGCAGGAAAGTCAATAAATGAAATGATAGAATACTTAACAACAAAATACAAGGAGGCAGAGGAAAGGTTTGTTCCCAAGGGCAAAAGAAATAATGGGAAGACCAGAACAAACCCCTGGTTTACCTGAAGGTGTAGGGAGGCAAAAACTAAGTGCACTAGAGAATGGAAAAAGTACAGAAGGCAAAGAACCTAGGAAAATAAGCGAGATTAGTCAAAGAGCCAGAAACGAGTATTCTCAGATTAGGAGGGAGGCCCAACAACAGTACGAAAACAACATAGCATGGAAAGTCATGTCTGACCCGAAACTGCTGTATAGCCACATTAGGAGGAAGACAACAGTCAAAGACCAAGTGATCAGGCTGAGGAAAGAAGGTGTGGAACTCACGAAAAACGATCAAGAGGTATGTGAGGAGCTGAACACGAGATTCAAGGAAGTATTCACAGAAGAGATAGGAAGGGCTCTGGGAAAACAGCACAGAGGGGAACACCAACAGCGAATATACCAACAAGTGTTGGATGACATACAACTGAGGAGGAGGTGCAGAAGCTGCTAAGTGACCTTGGTACCTCAAAGGTGATGGGACCAGACAACATCTCCCCATGGGTCCTTAGAGAATGAGCAGAGATGCTGTGTGTCCCACTAACCACAATCTTCAACACATCCCTTGAAACTGGGCAACTACCTGAAGTACGGAAGAAGGCAAATGTAGTCCCCATTTTTAACCCTTAAACTGTCCAAACGTAGATCTACGTTTGTGCGTGTAGTGCTCCAACCTTGATTTTCTCCATAAGAAAGCATGTAAAAAAAAGTAGATCTATGTTCAGAGCGCTACATGAGCGAACGTAGATCTACGTTTTGACAGTTTAAGGGTTAAGAAAGGAGACAGAAACGAGGCACTAAACTACAGACCAGTGTCACTGACGTGTACAGTATCGAAAGCCATGGAGAATATTATCAGGCGGAGAGTGGTGGAGCACCTTGAATGGAACAAGATTATAAACGACAACCAACACAGATTCATAGAGAGCAAATCCTGTCACAAACCTTCTGGAGTTTTATGACAAAGTAACAGAAGTAAGACACGAAAGAGAGGGGTGGGTTGATTGCATTTTCCTGGACTGCAGGAAGGCCTTTGACACAGTTCCTCACAAGAGATTAGTCCAGAGTGGAGGATCAGGCGCTTATAACAGGAAGGGCACTGAAATGGATCAGAAAATACCTGACAGGGAGGCAACAAGAAGTTATGGTACGTGATGAGGTATCACAGTGGGCACCTGTGACGAGGGGGGTCCCACAGGGGTCAGTCCTAGGACCAGTGCTATTTTTGGTATATGTGAATGACATGATGTAAGGGATAGACTCTGAAGTGTCCCTGTTTGCAGATTGATGTGAAGTTAATGAGAATTAAATCAGATGAGGATCAGACAGGACTACAGAGAGACCTGGACACATGGTCCAGCAACTGGCTTCTTGAATTCAACCCCGCCAAATGCAAAGTCATGAAGATTGGGGAAGGGCAAAGAAGACTGCAGACAAAGTATAGGCTAGGTGGACAAAGACTGTAAACCTCACTCAAGGAGAAAGATCTTAGGGTGACCATAACACCGAACACGTCTCTGGAGGCACACATCAACTAGATAACTGCTGCAGCATATAGGCGCCTAGCAAACCTGAGAATAGCGTTCCGATACTTTAGTAAGGAATCGTTGAAGACAATGTACACTGTGTATGTCAGGCCCATACTGGAGTATGCAGCACCAGTTTGGAACCCACACCTGGTCAAGCATGTCAAGAAATTAGAGAAAGTACAAAGGTTAGCAACTTGGCTAGTTCCGGAGCTCAGGGGAATGTCCTGCGAAAAAAGGTTGAGGGAAATCGCCCTGATGATACTGGAGGACAGGTGGGTCAGGGGATACTTGATAACAACATACAAAATACTGTGTGGAATAGTTAGGGTGGACAGAGACAGGATGTTCCAGAGAGGGGACACAGAAACAAGGAGTCACAATTGAAAGCTGAAGACTCAGATGAGTCACAGGGATGTTAGGAAGTATTTCTTCAGTCATAGGGTTGTCAGGAAGTGGAATAGTCCAGCAAGTGATGTAGTGGAGGCAGGAGCCATACATAGCTTTAAGACGAGGTATGACAAAGGTCAGGAAGCAGAGGGAGAGAGGACTTAGTAGCAATAAGTGAAGAGGCAGTGCCAGGAGCTGAGTCTCGACCCCTGCAACCACAATTAGGTGTGTGTGCGCGCGTGCATGCGCGCGCACACACACACACACACACACGTATGTACGTATATACAACAGGCCTAGTGTCTAATCGATACGTGCCTAGGGCAAAATAGTAACTAACATGCATGCACACATATACAATAAGCCTAGTGTCTAATTGACATGTGCCTGTGACAAAATGTTAACTAACACACACACACAGGGGCAACAGAATTAATGGGAAAATCAAAGTGAGTCCTTGGTTTACCCGAAGGTGTAGGGAGGCAAAAACTAAGTGCATTAGAGAATGGAAGAGGTACAGAAGGCAAAGGACCCAGGAAAATAAAGAGATCAGTCGAAGAACCAGAAACGAGTATGCACAGATAAGAAGGGAGGCCCAGCAACTGTAGGAAAATGACATAGCATCAAAAGTCAAGTCTGACATAGCATCAAAAGTCAAGTCAAAGACCAGGTGATCAGGCTGAGGAAAGAAGGTGGGGAACTCACACGAAACTATCAAGAGGTATGTGAGGAGCTCAACAAGAGATTTAAGGAAGTATTCACAGTGGAGACAGGAAGGACTCTGGGAAGACAGGACAGAGGGGGACACCAACAGGGAATATACCAACAAGTGCTGGATGACATACACACAACTGATGAGGAGGTGAAGAAGCTGCTAAGTGACCTTGATACCTCAAAGGCAATGGGACCGGACAACATCTCCCCATGGGTCCTTAGGGAAGGGAGGGAGCAGAAATGCTGTGTGTCCCATTAACCACAATCTTCAACACATCCCTTGAAACTGGGCAACTACCTGATGTGTGGAAGATGGCAAATGTAGTTCCCATTTTTTAAAAAAGGAGACAGAAAAGAGGTGCTAAACTACAGACCAGTGTCACTGATGTGTATAGT